GGGTCTGGCAGCGTTCACAGACATCTCTAATGCATCCCAATTATTGTGAAGACAGAAACTGAGATGAGCTGATACATGGAAAGCTACACTTTTCACATTGTAAAAATCTGGTGATCACCAAATTCCCCTTTCCGTTTTCCCTACAAAAGAATGTAGAACATGAAATTACATTGTCTGAGGCCTCAACACTTTCAAATTTTTGCATCAGCCGACAAATCTCTATAACAATGCAATTCCGAACAAGGAGGACAGTGTGTAGAGCTGTGACACACTTCTTCAGATAGACTTTCTGTTTCTGTGTGTGGTGGTTTGAAAGAAAATTGCCCCCAAAGGGAGTGGCACTATTAGGAGGTGTGACCTTGTTGGAGTAGGTGTGGCCTTGTTGGAGAAAATGTGTCACTGTGGAGGCAGGCTTTGAGGTCTCATATATGCTCAAGCCATGTCCAGTGAGACAGTTGACTTCTTGTTGCCTGAATGATGTAGGATTCTCAGCTCCAGCACCACGTCTGCCTGCATGTCACCATACTCCCTGCCATGATGATAATGGACTGAACCTCTGAAACTGTAAGCTGCCATCTCAATGAAATGTTTTCTTTATGAGTTGCGATGGTCATGGTGTCTCTTCACAGCAATAAAACCCTAAGACACTGTGTCGTGTGAACCCTGGTGGTTAGGATTCTGAAGCCTCTTGAAGCTTCAGGACTTTGTTCCTTCACTTGTCCAGGTTAGATGTCAGCAGCACCAACAGGCAGTCCAGCCAGGTTTAAATACAGAGACACTGATCACTTTAAATGTCTCCAGTGTGGAAGAGCTTTGTATCAATCATGAGCAATTCCAAGAACATGCTGTGCGGGTGTTAAACCTGAGATTTGAGAGAGAAAAACCAGTCCCAAAATTTGAGCCAAATTTGAAGCTAGCTTTAATTAAATACTGACCAGGATGGACTCTGGTCAGGTCCACTTGGAGATCCTCAGGAGTGGTTCACATTTTGCAGACTTAAAAAGGCAAAACTTACAATTCATTGCATTTCCCATCAGGTCCAACAGGGGCAAGAATACATCCTGATGTATTTCCTGCCTAAGTACCCTCTGCCTACATGCAGTCAAGCACATCTGTTGTAGTTGGGTCCAACAAACTTGTTTAGGGAAGTGAAAACATGTGGGTAATAAATCTGTTATTTCCCGAGAACTATGACTCCTAGCATTCCAGGAAGTTACCTTGTTCTAGGAGAAGTGGGGCTTACAGGGTGACTAACTTTTACACAGGATATACAAGGAACAAGAAAAAGGCTCCCAATTTTGCTAGCGGTCTATGCACAGGTGATTTGTTTGGTTCTCTGGGTTTCCTATTCTACTGTGAATCTTAAAACCCCAGTCAACTGTAAGAAAAACCATTCTACTTAGTGAATGAAATGAGGACATGACCTCTCCCAGGTATGGCTGAGGAGGAGGATTTTATTGTAGATATGAGGGAGAGAACAGCCAGAGGCATCTGGCAGTGTCCAGAGAGAGCATGGTCAGCAGAATAGACCAGGCCATGAGAGGAGAGAGAAGGGGAAAGGCAAGAGATGAAGGGAAGAGAGAGGGGAGAAGAGAGGAACCAAGGACCCAGAGAGCACCTGGCCAAAATGGCGGAGTTATACAGGAAAGAGAAGCTGGGGGAAGGAAGGGCAGTGAAGTGCTGGGGCTGGAGAGGTTTAGGGTAGGGGGTGGCTGTGGGTGAGAAGTGCTGAGAGGAGCCAGGACTCTGTAATAGATACTTGAGATGCTGAGAGAACCTGATGACCAGTGTCTGCCATAACATGTTAATAGGCGCTTCAGGTAGCCTCTGGTCCCAGGGTTCCTCCGGACCTAACAGTTACTTAGTTGCAGGTACTCACCAAAGTAACTCAGCTTTGCAATAAATATTGGGCAAGAAGTAGAAAATACGTGGATAATGATCAATTTAGTGAGATGTACTGTTTAGAGAAAGTCATATTACCACATTACACTTCATTTTCAATTTTGTTTTATTTCATATTTGTCACTATCTTAGGAACATTATTTTTTTTTTTTGCTTTATTCCTTCCTTTTACAGTTTTCTTTTTTTTTAAATTTATTTTAATTTATTTTGCAATACAATTCAGTTCTACATATCAGCCACAGATTCCCTTGTTCTCCCCCCTCCTGTCCCCCTCACCTTCCCCCCAACCCCCCCCCATTCCCATCTCCTCCAGGGCAAAGCCTTCCCCACAGACTGAGGTCAACCTGGCAGACTCAGTCCAGGTAGGTCTAGTCCCCTCCTCCCAGGCCGAGCCAAACAATCCTGCATAGGCCCCAGGTTTCAAACAGCCAACTCATGCAATGAGCACAAGATCTGGTCCCACTGCCTGGATGCCTCCCAAACAGATCAAGCCAATCAACTGTCTCACCCATTCGGAGGGCCTGATCCAGTGGGGACCCCTCAGCCATTGGTTCATAGTTCATGTGTTTCCATTCATTTGGCTATTTGTCCCTGTGCTTTATCCAACCTTGGTCTCAACAATTCTCGCTCATATAAACCCTCCTCATTCTCGCTAATTTGGGCTGGAGAGGTGGCTCAGCCGTTAAAGGCTAGGCTCACAACCAAAAAATATAGGAACATTATTTTAACTTTGGTGATTTCACCTAACATTTGAAGGCAATTAGTGCTGGCCATTTTAAGACAGTATCTTGAGATAACATATGATACATACTTTTTTCAAGTCGATTCTAGTAATTCCTTGAAAACATAGTGATCTACTTGGTAATAAATATGTTGGACAGAATTTAAGAATAGACTCAAAGTTTGATGACAATTTTACTATTGAAAAACAAACAACAAAAACCCCTCCTGTCGGGCCAGCTGTAAATCTCTGCAGCTGCCCCGAAATGATTAACGGAGGAGAGAAGGAAAATGTCATGCCATTTAAGCCAGCATGGAGGGCAGACCTAAGACCGGCAGGCAGCCACATGGCAGTGTTGGTGAGGTTTTAGGAGAAAAAAGGAAGCCCAAAGTATCAGGAAAAGGATACTTAGGTTCTCAAAGGATACTTAGGTTCTGGCCAACATCCAAAACAAGAGATGGGGGGGGGAAAGAGGAAAGGTTGTGTTGTTATTCTGACTCAGCCCCCCAGAAAGGCAGGAAGAACCAGCTGAACCTCCTGGTGGCTTCTCTGGGGTGGGGGTGGGGTGGGGTGGGGTGGGGGAATTCCTGGGAAGGAAAAGCATAGTATCTCATTAAATGAAATTTACTCTGCCTATCTCTAGCCTGGCTTATGGCGAGTGCCCGTTCTGAGGGGAAGTCCCATGGCCAGGTGACTGACTTGACCTAATTAGAATGTTAGGTCTCCACCCTGGCTAGAGATTCCATTCTCTCGGCCAGTTGTTTTAGTGGGTTTTATTGCTACTCTGAGACTATGGTTTGAATGCAGCTGTGTCCCCTAACATTTCCGTGAGCTGGTAGTGGGACTTTAAGGAGGTGGAGCCCAGTGGGAGGCCCTGGGGTCACTGGGGAGTGTATTCTCAGAAGGGCTAGGCCTCCTTGTCTTCCTGTTCGGAGATACAATATTTTCATCTACAATCCTGCCATTGCCATCCATGCTGAGGGGAACAGCCCAGGTGGGTCCTGCGTAGAGTACTGTGCTCTCTTTAGCAGCTAAATTTGTGAGCTAAGGAAACCTCTTCTTTATAGTTAGCCTGTGCCATCACAGTACGAGAAATGCTAATAATGTCCCTTTTGACGAAAGCCCTTCCCTCACTCATATTCTCCAATGGCACAGCTCACGCAATAGGGTCAGAAATGCCCAATCATTTGTTATAATCCTCCATGTTGGGCGCATTAAATTTGGTTTGTGTTGACAGTATAGAAGACAATTTTATCATGTTAGGACCAAGTCATACTTCCCATTCAAAGGACCACCCGGAGACAAGAATTTAAGATTTTTTTTTTTTTTTTTTTTTTTTTTTTTTTGGTTTTTTCGAGACAGGGTTTCTCTGTGTAGCTTTGCGCCTTTCCTGGAACTCACTTGGTAGTCCAGGCTGGCCTCGAACTCACAGAGATCCGCCGGCCTCTGCCTCCCGAGTGCTGGGATTAAAGGCGTGCGCCACCACCGCCCGGCGAATTTAAGATTTTTTGACTCAGCACCTAAAACCTATCCACAGCTGAATATTTTGCTTCCTGGGATAAAGAGTTCTCCCCCTTGTAATTCCAAGAAGAGCGGAACTACCTGTCAGTGAAGCCACAGGGAAGAACCTCACACTTGCTTTCCAAGTCTACAACTACATGCTTCTCAGAGAGCCACTCCCACACACTGCACGTGACCTATCCACTTGACGACCACAGCATTCCAGAACCTGAAAGTAATATTTTTGATACTGTTTGGGTCTTTAAGATACAAATCAGCTTAAATTTACCGGAACAAACTTATTCTTTCCTGTTACAATGCAGCTGACAATCTGCCCCTTAACACCAATATAAATCTCATTAACGTTTTTTGTTGTTCAAGCAATAATTTTTTTTAGTCTCCTTTCTTACTCACCCTACATCTCCTCTAAAAGGATTTGAGTTTCTGCAGGTTACTCGATCACTGAAGATCCTACCCAGTGTGTCTCTGGAGTCAGCCTGGGTCTCCAGTCGTCCAGGTGACTGGAAGAATTTGTACTATGATGCATTCTTCCTTGCAATGTGTGAGTTTCCTAGTCCAAAATTCATTTCAGAAGGATCCACTGCTTGGTGTTATGGCTAAAACTGAAACAGTCTAGATAAACTGCTTTATAAAGGTTGTCAAGGTAGCACTAAGGGCCCTGAACTAGGATCAAAATGACTTTTCCACCTTTCCCAAGAAATGCTGCAGATACACACACACAAAAACAAAAACAAAAAAAGTGGGGAAATGATTTGGGGCACAGATGAATTGGGCACAGATTTTATATCACTTGCAAGGAGTCAATCAAGCCACAATTACGTTCACTTCAGATGGGACATGACACATGAGCCACACACCTGTGTAAACCCTTTATTGAAGCAACAATCAGACTACAGGATGGATCACACATCATGTTTTCATCTTATTACAGTGATATCAACGTATACCTTAGTCATTTGTTTATAGCTTTGAATTATTTCGTATTTCTTCCTGACACATTTTTCCATCTCATTTTCCGGTCTCACAAAGGATGTTCAGAACTAGTGAAGCACAGTAAACCAAACATAGATGCAAACATATTCTCTGAAACGAACTCACTGTTCGTGGTTCTGTAATATTAGAAAGAGACATCTTGAGGCTTTTATAATGAGTTAAATAATAAAATTAATTTATTCCATAATATTCTTAGAATGACTTCCTTTCTACTTTTATTCTATCTATCTTTAATGATTGAAGCATTCTCAGCGTTAGCCCCTTTACATTTATATTTGAGAAAAAAAAGTCATTTAAAGAGCATCTTTCTCACATGAGATTTTCTTGTATAATAGTCAAATACCTAGCCTTTTGGAAAATATAAGTAATTCTGTTCTATTTGATGATTTTTACCAATAAATGATTTGTTTTGTCAAAACCTGTTAATCTCTGAAGAAATCATAAAGAGGTCATTAAGAAAATGAATTTTGTTAATGGTTTGAAGGCTTTAATGGTGAAATGTAAAATCGATATCTTAAAGTTAACACATGTTCAAAGCTAGGTGTGTGAATATATAATGAAGTTTGGTTGATAGTTAAAGAGTTTCAGTAAGTGTTTAAGGAGTAACAATAGAAATGGGGATTACTTGGGGGGAGGGGTGGTGAGAGGATGCGTGAAGACATGAAGGATAGCAGTCAAGAATGTGCTGAAAAAATAGTGTTTGAAATAGACTTTAATGCTCCATTTCTTACCAAATGAAAACACGGATATCCCCAGTTAAGCTAACCATTGGGACTGCCATTTAAAGGTTCTAACACAGAATAAACATCCTCCTTCAAACCACGAAAGAAAAGATAATTGACTTGTTTTTCTAAAACATTTCTTCCAGTGCCAGATGGGTGTCCCCATAGTCCCCAAGAGCGGCTGCACTACGTATCCACTGTGCCTACTCAAAACATGCAAGCATTCTTCATGCTCTACACTCTGTGTGCCACAGAGCTAAGGAAATGCTCTGTCACCAGGGAATGACAACCCAGGCATGGGATTTAACGCATGTTCTCAGTCTGTTAATGTGGCTTACATATTCATAACTAGATTCATTCACGTTCCTTTCTCATCATCTCCCATTTGCCCTTCACAAGGACGTGTCCAGTTAAGGAAGAAACAAACAAGATAAAGAAGGAAAAGAGATTCCCAAATCCATTGAGTGGGCTATCCGGCCTTTCAGTCTTCCCTGTGAAAAAGTAATGTTCGTGAGCACCCCAGACGTTCTGGCCATAATGGCACGAAACAACAATGCTTGGCATGGGTGAGAACATTCAGATATTTCCAGAGCAATTTATATACAGTATGTATCACATAGATCACATTTGGTTCCTAGAGATTTTAGTCAAGTATTAGCATTTCTTTTTGCCAACTGTGATGTACAAAAAAGATGAGAACAACAGATGTGCCCTAAAGATATGAAAATATAAATATATAAAACAAAACATTATAAATTACATAGATTTTTTTCCCCATATAAAATTTTGGGTATTTTTCCCATTTAGAATAAATACCATCCAAGTTTATAGACCATCTAAGAGAATTAAATATGCATATGTATGTGAATCATTTTCAGAATTTCAAGAAAAAAAATTGCTAGAGGTATGACTAGGATGACTCAGAAACTAGAAACTGATTTTTTTTTTTAAGAATGACTATAGAAGACCCAAAGGACATACATAGGTTGGGATTGAGTGTTGAGCTTTTAAAAGTGCTCCAAACGAGTCCATTGTGCACAAGCATGCGTGCATCTGTGTTCAATGGAACTCCATGAATGATTCTAAGAACCTGAATGGTTCCCTGTTTTGGGGAAACTATCAGCTGAGTGTTATGAGGTCTTCCACCTTTCATATTCTAGTATGAGGCTGTTCTCATTTGGGAAGGTCCTGTGGAGGGGCAGCAAGAGCATAGAATTTCCGGATGGACAAATTCCATACCAAGCCAAGTTCCCTTTAAGGTTGGATACTGTTATACCGAGAACATTTGATACCTTAAAGAGGGAGGTTTGAAAATCATCCACTTGTTCTCTATCCCACTTCAGTCTAAAGAATCAAAATCAATCTGGACACATTCTTTGGTCATATATTTTAGCTCTTGCTAAATCTGCCTACTTTAGCTTATTATCCTTAATCAGTGTCTGTATGGCATGGATACCTTGCCCTCCACTTTCCATGGGGAAGTCTGCACATGGGCTTGGATGGACTGAGAATTGAGGAGAACAGAGTTCACATATCATCACAGAAGATTCACTAGTCAGTCCCTGTTGTTACTCTGGGTATCTATGTCAAAAGCAAGCATTTGTCAATTCCATGACAGTCATGGAATCTGTATATTGCAAGAGCTGGGACTAAAACTTTTCTTCAATGTGACTTTATAGAACCAGAGAGCCCCACAAGAAGTCCTGGCTCCTTATGGATGCAGGCTACAAGTTTCTTCAGGTGACCCATAAGACTTTTCAACTAGGTGCCAATAAAGAATTCCTCTTAAAGGGAAATCGGTCAAACTCCAAATCCCGTCAGATTGCTTTGCACATGGATTGTCTATAAGCCTGTCATGGTCATTAGTATAGTCAACCCTGCTACCCTCAGTTACAGATGCACCCACAGTAAAGTATGTACCACATAAGCTGTTCCTATTGACTTAAGGGTTATTACAGTTTGAAGACTTTCCACAAGATTCTAAATGAGCTTCAAGGGGTCATCTAGGCTACTGACCATTACTTGCATATTCTATTCACACTCAAATGAAATGATCAAAGCCTCAGTAAGAAAGGATGTCCAAGGACATTTCCTCTGATAGAGGGGTGATTACTAAACATCTGGGGTTGTTCTGACAACCCATGAGACCTCTGACGTCACAAGCCTGTCACACCCATCACCCTTGAGATGGCCTTGACTCTGATACATTCTTTTAGGTTTCAGTCTCCCTTGTTTGTGTCTGAAAATAAAATCACAGCACTCATCATTCTTACCATTAAATCTAAATTGTAGAAGTGGGACACATTATTTTTTGGAGGGGAAAAGTTCCAGAATTTGTTGAAGATGCTATGATCTCTTTCATTTGAGTAAGTAACAGGGCATCAAAATGGCATGGGAACCCAGAGATGAAAACAAAAATCTTTAAAACAATTGTGAAAAAAGTAAAAAAAAAAAAAAATTAAATAAAAATAAAAAGTTTTACTTTTGGGTTCTTTCTTTGAATGTGATGCCATGGAAAAAGAGCAGCACTCAGAGCTCATGCCAGCTTGCCCTCTCTTACAGAGAGGAGTTTTAAAATCAAGGCCCAGATTTGCTAAAAGCCTGGCAGCTGGTTGGTTATTGGCACAGTCAAGAATTAAATCTATGGATGGCTGGATTGTCTTGGTTCTCTAATATCAAGCTGCCTTACACACTGCATTTTGGCCAAAGAATCCAATCACTTCAGGATAAAATCCTCTATGTCATTATCCTAATTTTGCAAGTTGCCTTTCGACAATCAACAAGTTAAGCATGCAGTCTAAAGGGGACCTGGTTACACTCCTCACAGAGTGGCTAGTTGCTGCCCTAGGTCTAGTGCTGAGCTGAACAGCACCCTAAGGGCCCTGCAAGGCCTTCTGGGAAGCAGACATGCTGTACCTACAGGAATTCACCAAAGGCCTCTGTCTTCGGAAGCAATACATCTTCCAGGTAAAGAACCTGTCTTCATCTGGAGGGCGAGGGCACTTCCATGGAAACCATTTTTATGAGTGCTGTGGGTATATCTAAGCATTTATAATCTTGCTCCTCACCTCAAGCTGCGCTCACCTAACTGCTCTCAGAACTGGACAGGTAACCTTTTTTTTTTTTTATTTGACTGTTAAAGTGCTATTTGGGGGCAAAGTTTTTCTCAGTTTCACAATAGCAGCTTCATTGGAAACGAAAAGTGTATGAACATAGGTGTGCGGGTTTTTGTTTTTGTTTTTTAAGGAGAAAATTAGAAAAAAGAAGTGTAATAACTACTTTGGAGCATTACAAATGACATAGATATCAGCCGTGTCAGTGACTGACACCCAAGACTCTGAGGTAAACATACTAAGAAAAAATAAGGACAAAGGTGACATGAAAGGCTCCGTCAGAAAGAGCAATTAATATTAATATTAATAACAACTACTCTACTATAAAAGAACCGTGAAGATGATTAAAACTGAGAAGAAAGTGCAACCAACCCATGGATGAGCATTTGCTACTGTAGCAGACTTATAATTTTCCAAAGAAAAGCAATGCAGTGTGCATTAGACAGGGCTCCTGAACTCAGAATGTCTTACAAGAGTGTACTCTTGGCCAAAAGGGCATCGCCAATTAAGAGATTTGGCAGAGAATGGCCTCTACAATTCAGATCACGTGGACAGACCTCTGCCCCATCTTATCAGTTCTGTGCCCCAGCACTTCTCACGTCTTTTCCTACCGGGGTGAGTCTAGTCACATGAACTCCATGCAGGTGTCTTCCCTATCACGGGGCATCACTCCTACTAAGGGATGAGAGTCTCCTGGTAAGGCTTAGCGGCAAGTGCATACTACATTTGTATTACAAGGAGCAGCCCCTGATTTTTCTTGATATGCATAGCTTTTCGGAGTTAAGATTAGACATGGCTTTCATAAATAATGCAGGTGTTTTTGTCACATGTCACTGCTGGCTCTGTCGTTTCCAGGTGTGCTGGTGGCAGGCCTCGCTCTGGCGCCTCTACAGGTGACGCCTCTTCAGACGTCAGCTCCGTGGTCGTTATGTCTGTCGAAGGCTCTCCAGTCTCTGGGGAGTGTTCCTCTGATGGTTCTGTCTCCTCTTCATCTCTGACCTCAAACTGTCCGCCCTCCTGGTCATCCACATGATCCTTTTTGGACTGCGGGTGAACCGAAACCTTGATGGCAATCTGCTGGGGCTGTTCATGCAACGACGAGGCATCTGAGTCGGCGGTGGGGGAGTCACTTCGCTTCAGAGAGTTGGGGATTGTGTAGACCTCATCCCTATCTGCGGCTTCCTGGCCTTCTGGGGTATGCCGCACAAAATTCTGCCCCTGCTCCTCTAGGCCGACCACTTCCATGATCTCCTCCATGATCGTCCTGCAGTTCATGATGAGGGGAGGCAGGGGCACACTTCTGGCAAGCTCTTCGATGTACCGGGCAAATTCCATGGTTTTGAACTGGGTCACTTTGGCAAGCTCTAAGGTTTTGGCTGAGGTGATAATGGGGATGCGCTTAGCGATCTCGAATGCCTTCTGCAGCTTCTCGGCCCCTTCTGTCCTAAAGAAGTCGTTGATGGCTTTCTCAGTCTTCTTCAGGTGGCTGCTCATCATACACAGGCGGGTGATGTTGAGGATCATGACGACGGTGAAGGCCACGAGGCACACAACCATATAGTACACACCCATGTCTCCAGAGGTAAAGACGACTCGCAGGGTCACTGTGTTGTTTACGGTGCCATAGCTGTTCGACGCCACACACGTGTATTTACCTCTGTCTGAGAAGGACACCTTGGTGATGTTCAGGAGGCCGCCATGCAACATTTGCCATTTTCCTGTCAGAAGGGAAGGAAGAGAATTCAACGGAGGGTATATGATTTCCGTGGCCGCACAATCTTATGCCCGCCCATCCCCTCTGCAACGCTGTAAGGAAGCACTAATGCTGGCCGTATATTACGGGCAATAAAGGCCCACTTGAGCAATTTCACCAAGGTTACCTATTTAGAAGTAGTATATGTAACCAGTGCACGGGTTGGTACTTGAAAAGGTGTATGCTTTTCCGAAACTCCCCCTTCCTTCTTTTCGTGGTGAGAGGGTTCAAACCCAGGGCTCAAACCCATGCTAGACAAGTGCTCTCCCAGCGAGCTGCATTCCGAGGCTCTAGTGTCCCACTGCCCCATATCCCTCCCTCCCAACTTCATGCCCTCCTTCTCTAGGTGGTTATTAATAATCCCCTCCATCCAGTCAGTGGTGTCTGTGTCCATGTGGGTGTGGGGACATTCACTGGAGTTTGGGCAGCCTCCCAGGGGCAATGTCCCCAGAGGAGTACGACTTCTTCAGTAGACAAGGTTATGTTGTTAATTACACACTATAGTGTGGAATTCCAATTCCTGGTGGAAGATAAGACAAATAATCCGGAAAACACAGTGTTTTTAAGAAAGAGTTCCTTAAGGTACCCTGTGCTTTCGTAGCTTGCCTGTGAGCAGAACTCCACTGAACATACCTCATAGGAAGTGAGAGCTCCGAGAATGGAAAGCATTTTGGGTTCAACATAAAACCTGGAGAAAATCAATTAAGTCATAATGGTTTGCTTGGGTGACCCATATTTAGGACTGATATTATCCTTCTATGACTTTGGCTAATTAAACATAATTTATGTCACTAATTTTGAGAATTCACAGTGAAGTATCTATACTGTTCAGAGTTATAAGCTGACAGCGAGGATTCGGAGGTCAAATATAAATTAATATCAACTAGCTTTAGCCTTGAAAATGAATGAAGCCCACCAGGATGATGATAAGCCTGGCAAGGAGAAGACACTTTGAACAATACTACCTTACACTAACTAGCCTGGGAATGACGTTTTAAATTCAGTGGGATGGGATGAATTCCGAGCCTGCCTCCCGGCAGCTCTCAAGATTTCTGTGAAGTAGGATATCAGGTTTGGTTTCCAAGTATCGGATCAGAGTCAAAAATGAAATCTTAATACCCACCTCATGTCGTCTCCCAGAGAGCAATGAAGCTCCAAGGTAAGTCTCTCGGGAGTTTTAAGGAATGGGCAGATAATTGTTCAGAAAAGGCATCTTGTCCTCTGAACTAACCAACCAGAGGAGCCTCCTGAGAGGTTGGATGATTTAAGTGTCTGCGATCGCCATATATCCGACTTGCCTCTCCCCAACACGGTAGTGACTCATTTGCAATTAAAAGTCTGGTGAGGCTGAGACTAGCTCAACTCCTCCTGATGGCTGAGAACTTGCCTCACATTCACAAGGCCCGAGTTCAAACCCCAGCACTGGTAAGTTCCCAAGCTCATAAACGGTCAGGGTCTCAAAGGACTGCTGTCTGAGGTATGAGAAGGCCTGGTGTCGTCTAAGCCAACAGACATGCCTACAGAGGCTATATTCACCCATGTGGTACTTTCCCGGGGTTCCAGCACCTCCCTGTTGCTCCCTGCAGGGATTGGGCGGGCAGGAGGCCTCCTCTTCCACACCGTCACATTTCTTTGCCTTCTGGAAGAACGCATGTGAAGAGTGATTCCTGGTGTCCTCAACTAACCCTCCTCTCTGTCAATCCAGCCAGTGTACTTCCCCTAAGAGTAGAAAGCTCTGGCTTAGAGTCTAGCGATGTCAGTTTCCAGTGACTGCGTGGGAACAGGCAAACCCAGCACGTGGCCTGTGAGAGTCTCCATTCGGAGGCAGTTCAGGCACGCTTTCATTCCCTGAGCGTGAATTTTAATCTTTCTGCCACAGATGTGGCTGCATAGACAATGACTGGAGGCCGGGGAAGCTGCTTTATCAGTTTATTTTCTTAGAACGGGCACGTTTCGTGTAGACTACAGCAGGCATGGGGGTGAGGGGTGGGGAAGACCCCCATGGATGGACAGTTTATTCTGCATGGAAGGTGCTGGGTTTCAGAACAGCCTGGGAAGGTGTTCTCCTATCTGCCTGCCTTCGGTTGGAAATAAGACGGGATGCAGGAGAGTGAGAGACGAGAAGGGTCAATTTAGTTATCTCCACACCGAGGCCTTTCTCCACCCATTACCCGGAGAAATTATTATCATCACAAAGCTGGAGCAGTATGCACTTGGGACAGGAGAAAGCAGGAGAACAGTAAATACAAACAGAAGCTTTCTCCCCATGCTTGAACAGGAACCACTTTCATAGAAAAAGAAAGTGCAAAAACACACAGCAGCTACAAAGAATGGGTGTTTTCCTCTAGTGAGTATTTTTTGATGTTCTGAATTTGACCTTTATATTTTTTCCAGACATACTTTAAATTTTCTATTGACTCTCATTTATCTAATTTGAGGCCAAGCAGTTAAATTCAGACATGCAGATACTTTGAAAGTGTCTTATTGTATTGTTAAAAGGAGCATGGAATCAAACATGAGCCAGTTTGTTGATAACTGCAGTTCATTCTGGGAAACTGGTCTTCTAGCACGTAGCTGATACTTACAAATATGGTTCACAGCTCAGAACTATGATTCCTCAAACTGACATCTCTTCGATGCTTTCTCCAGCACAAAAGTCTCACTTTTTCTTACAAAAGCTTTTTATTCACGGGTAAGTGTATACACCGGCATAAGTTTATATGCACAATGTACGTTGCTGAGCCCAAGGAAGCCAGAAAAGGGAGTCAGGACCATGGAACTGGAGTTACAGGTGGTTGCGAGCCATCCTGTGGGTACTCGGAACCAAACCTGGGTTGCAAGAGCAGTCCGTGCCCTTAACCACTGAGCCATCTCTCCAGGCCTTGTTTGCTTTTAAAGTTTGAAGCCCAAACATATATATGCGAAGTGAGTATTGTGACTTAACTGTAAGGCAAAACAAATATAAATACATATCTTGTGATCCCCAAACAGTTTTTTTAAACCATCATTGTAGTTAAATAACAGACTACCACCCTCTACCCGCAATTTCCTAGTCCATCCTAGGAGGACACGGCACACCAATTTAGTCCTTGAAACCAACAACATGTTTGCTTTACGGATTTGCCCGTGTGTCCTACAGTAAAGTGAACACGTGCTCTAGATTAACATTCCGTCACCACATCACAGAGCAAGTCTAAATAGTGGAAGCCTGTAAACGCACACCCCCCCCACATGCACACCCACACTCCCCCACATACATACAAATACACACACCAACACACACACACACCAACACACACACACCAACACACACACACCCCCAATACACATACACACATATACATACCCACACATATACACACACACACACACCAACACACACACACCAACACACACACACCCCCAATACACATACACACATATACATACCCACACATATACACACACACACACCAACACACACACACACACACCAATACACACACATACACACACACACACACACACACACACACACACACACACACACACACACACCTTCCAATGCTCCTGTCAGATGAACTGAGGTTCTGATTATCTCCAAGAGTATCTGTTTCTTTCTCTTGGCTGCTAAAGTTCTCTCTTTTCTGGACACTAAGACTCCAAATTCTACTTAACCTCAGCTTCCCCTCTGATTAGCGAAAAATATATGTGTACACGATCATTTAACACATAGAGACCTGAAAACCAGGAAGATGTCATGAATTATGCTTGGTGGTTTTCCTCCATCAGGTTGGACCAGGCTCAAGAAACATCTCCGCAGAGTAGACCCCAGCTGGCAACATGGGGTGCATCCTTTCTGTGCTGTAAGGGCCCGTCCACCTCCGTCTGCGAGGATACCCTTCCCTGAGACCTATGCTGGAAGGGGCCCAACTTTGGCTGCCAGAACGTGAAAGGCATACGGACACCCACAGTGACTGTCTGTCACAGGACATCTTCAGTGCCATGAATACGAAGCAGGGCACACACCATGCTGCTGCCGAGCGGTTTAAACTGTAGCTGGTGGGAATGTCAGAGCTATGCGCTGAATTTTCATGAAGCCACACCACTTCAGTGCAAATAAAAACCTGAAGTGTCAGCAGCGGGAGCCAAGACAGCTCCACCAGCAATGATTTGGGAGGCAATAAAAAGGGCAGACTGTTAATGATTACTCTGCCTCCTGAAAATAGCACAAGACCAAATGGCCAGCCTTTCCTACACTCATTGCATTCCTCCTCCTACCCACTTTCTGTGTCTAGCTCAGGTTGTCGCCCCTACCCTCAAATTCCAAATTCTTTCTCTCCATCCTCTTTCTTCCCGGTGGTGCTGCTTTGCAAAGTGACAGTACCTCAGAGGCTTCAGGGTAAGACACAGACACATCCATTATTGTAGATTAGTGGTCACCTAGCAATCTGTCATTGTCTTCCCTAGGAACTCCAGACATGCGAGCCCCTCTCACGTGTGAATGAGCATGTGGTGACAACCTCTCCTTTGCCAAGAGAAGAGCTACCAGATGTGGGTTGGGAGCTGTGCCGCAGGACGTGTGCTGGGCTTCACAACAGAGCTGACATTTTTCAGAAGGGCAGCGGCTCTCTTTTATCTTGCCCACTCACTCAGTCAACAGATATCATTGAATAAATTGTCTGTGTACCAGGCTCCACGCTAGACGAGGAGCATACAAAGATGAGTAAGACACGATTCCTGACTACAAAAAAAATCATCCGGGCCCCACGGGGAGAAGACTCCAACTGACAGCTCTAGGACTGTGTGCCAAGTGCCAAGGCGTGTGGACGAGGGGCGGGCAGCAGGGGGAAAGGGAATGAAGGAACAGAGAGGAGACTCTAAGGGCCAGCGGGGGTGGGGGGGGGGAGCAAGAGAGAGCACAGCATGAGCTGCTGAGCTGACAAACCATGTATAAAACTGAAGCAGGGCTCGGATGGAGACAGG